CAATAGCCTCAGCTTCATCTGAAAGAATAGACAGAAAGATAGTTTGCATTACAAATCAAAAGCAAGTCGATATTAATACATGAATAAAAGTTACCTGTTTCTTTTTGATGCTTAGGCAGTTGTTTTAGCAGATCTAGAATCTTGTGCTCTTCAAATTGAGCTAGTGGAGTTAAGGAATGTAGAATATATAGAGCAGAATGAGTGTCCAGGGTGTGGAGTTGTGCCAATAATGCTTCTGGTGGAATCGCCCTGTAAAAAGATAAGATATGTTTAAGTTGTGAATGTTTGCTTGTTTTCTTCCAAAGCAGTGACCATGATGAAAGAGTTCAATGTCAAGAACTCATAAATATATTCAAACACACCAGTGCTCAAATTTCATGAGCTTAAGGGCATTATGTACTAAAACAAGCATCTATATAACTTGAAATTCAAACATTCCACACATACATATCGAGACAAAATAAAATAAATATTTTATACATAATAGACCATTGGAAAAGTTAAAATACGTACGGATTGTTGTTTTTACACCATTCAAGAATTCCAAGTTGCGATGATAAAACATTGGCAAAATCCTGCAGGACTGTATCATTTGCAGCCACCTAAAATGAAGGGGACAAGACACAATAATACAACACAACAGACTAAAAATAGACTTGAAATACTTTTTACAGTGTTAATACCACTATTGGCTTTCAATCTAACCTGCTCATTGTGGAGAATACTGAGCAGTGTTTGACCAGAGTTTAGGCTACAACACAGGGTCCATCCCAGCAGCAAAATGAGACGTGACAAAGGCCGAAACTCCAAGTGCAGTAAATCTCTGAGCTGAGAAAACTCCTCATGTTTAATCAAGTCGAGAGCAGTAACCTACAATAAACAGTTAGACACATTGGTTAATTGTTTCACATGGAGGTGCTACTGATCCCAATATCAACCCAAAACAGAAAAAACTACATACCAAAACTTGTTCAAGAAAATGTTTCCCACTACTAAGGCACTCAAAATAGATGGTTTTCCAAATGGGTGGACGATCCTTATGGCAACACAAGCTGAGGGTGAGCTTCTGGGCTTCAGGTAGGTCAACTAACGTGAAAATACAAGTATTTGAAATTATATTTCATGCTTGAGAACCATTACACTGATATTTGATGTCAGTGTAATTAATAAAATGTTAAATATCTAAATTCATGTATTGTATTTTGATCAATAAAAAAACAAACAAAACAAACAAAAAACACATAGGCATCTGCCCCATACTAAATGGAGCTGGTTGCATAAATGTTTCTTTCTTGATGCATGAGTATGACCACAATTTAGATGAAAGAGGAAGTGATAATTAACAACTCAATGATTGGCCCATGCACTCACTTCTTCAATCTAACTGATTCAACTGATAAATAAGGGACAAGCATGTCACACATATCAATGCTCTCAAAATAGTCAATTTAGTCTGCTGCAGGATTAAAAAAACAACACATTTTTCTTTAAAAGAAAGTCTGAATTTACCATACTTTAGACAGATCCAAGCAATTATGAAAGAAGAGTCAAGTAAATTGAAATGTATGACTTCATTGATTGAAAGACTGGAATAAATACTGAAATGTCATGTGATGAGTAATAATTGAGTGCATTGATGTTCATTGATAAAATAAAACATACATTGAATTTTGGGTCCAGTCCTGAGCAGATGATCCCTCTGAAGCCTCACAGCAGTGGAGCTGTATGCTGAGACCAGTGTGTCACATTGTGGCCTCAGTAGAGAGCTTAGGACCCGCTCTTCTTTGAGGGGGCCGTCTCGAGCTGCCCACAGCGCCTCATTCAAGACTTCAAACTGCCCATTAGTGGTTCTCGAACTCCAAGGCATTACAGACAGTGTAGCATATATTGCCTTTATCCTCTCCTCTTTCTTTTCTGAATGCATCTCAGGCATGTCCAGTTTCTTTATGAGGTGCTGGATGAATGGTTGCTGAAGGGTAGAATCTTCGCAGCATGACTAGCAAAAATGCACAATAAGCTTTAATGTACAGATAGTTTGAAAAAACCTATAGTCTTCAGATTACTATAGCAACATTTACTAATTTTCAGGCACATTATTACAATATATATAAAAAAGTACAGTAGTAGTACAAGTCTATACCTGTAAGAAGCACACTAAAGACTGTGCAAGTCTTGGATGTCTTTTGTCCAGTAACGTGTGAAGACAAGAGTCAATTGCAGCATTCCTTTTTCTTATCACATCTTCAGTCGTTGGATTGGTGGTAGTAAAACCTTTGTGTAATTCCTGGACAAGAAAATGATGTATTTAGAATAAAGACATTTTTTTGTGTTCTTAGCAAAAAAATATTACCTTGATAAGAGCTGTTTGTGCACCCTCTGATACAAGTTTCTCCAGGAGAAGTACAAACTCCAGCTCTCTTCTGACAGAAAGAGAAACCTATTGAAGAATAGAGCTTAACACAGTATTTTATGAGGACAAGAGTCAAAATACAATAGAGTGTTTCTATATAGCAACTTGCTGTAAATAAACACACAAAACCTTTCCCTAGATTTTTAAAATATTTTTTCTGATATGGTTTTAGCAGTTTAACGTTTCCAGGGCTCCGACTTTTGTTTGGTTCACATCAAATGTCTGACAAAACTCCTTTTCTATCCTTATGTCTTGGCTACTCCTTTGGTTCTGCATGCAAACTTTTAGATTTGGATATCCACACACTACCATCTACAAAATTACATTACCTACCGTTTTTTCTGACCATTGCTCCAAAATTTGAAGCCAGTACCAAGCCAGTTTGTGTGGGCTGGACAAGGGCTGCCATCTAAAGACAGTTGAGAACAAGCATTCATACCTTTGTTATTCCACTTTCCTCAGTAATAAAATCGACACATGACATTGTGCAACATTTATTAACTCACTTTAAATCATATGGATTGCAGACTATAGATTTGATTATTTCCTGAGGTTTTGCTGAGAGTTCCCCAGTAGATTTCACCAGTTGAGGAACACAGGCACTGGCAAGTTCCCACTCTCCATTCTGCAGACACTTCTTAAAGTAAACAAAAAGGTCCTCCAGTGAGGTCTCTGCCTCACAGCCAAAGGGATGTATGGTCTTCATTCTCTGTGGTGCTCACAAGAGTACCTTCACACCGAAGAGTCAGCAATGTCCAATGGAGCATTCTTCACCTTCAACAGAAAATGTATTTTATTTAAACTCTAATACACTCTAATACACATAATAATAATAACATATACACAAGGAATGTTAATGGAGACCTAGAAACAGGACATGAAACAAAACATAACAAACAATCTATAAAACGTAACTCAAAGGTTACTCTGATTATAATGAAGAAAGTGTTACATTGTCATTGTCTCAATGCATTATTATATTGCTAAACCATTGGGTAATCAATTTTGTTTTCTATTTATATTTATGTATGTATGTTCAGCTAATTGTTCATTAAATTCCCATTTTGTGTGTCCACATCCAATCTAGTGTGCGTGTCTAAGTGTGTCTAAAACATACTAACGTACATGTACATACATACATTTTAAATACTGGACCTCTGCCTTTTATATTTGAGTGTCTATTGTCACAACTATTGTGTGCTTGTACCTGTATTTTTTGTGTGTTACATTAGTATTTGCATCCAGGTTGGTTCTGTATTCACTGTTCGTTTATTTGATGGATCTAAATGTAAGCACCCCAGTGCAGTTTATTGAAGGTATTTGTCAGTGATAACTTGATTTGTTTCATCATGTGACTCATTAGGCGCGTAAAAAATAATATATTAGAAAACATTGTAAATCATAATCATATAGCTAACAGTGAACAAGATGTTCCAGAATTTGTTTCAGATTAATTCGTTCAGTTCACAACACATAAATGCTACTCAAGAAGTATCTTTACATGTCTGCAATCGATTGACTGACATATTTCGTATTTGTGAAACGCAAGGTATTTGATTAGATTTATTTGTTCCCAATACGTTAGCATTAGCTTCCAGTTTGAGAACTTTCTGAAGTTCAAAGCAGTGCCTGTCAATCTTTGCTGACAACAGTTATTCATACGTTTTCAAGCACAGCGAAAACGCCATGTCTAAATGACTCACTTATTTACTTGTTGTATTCCCCATATCGAGGGCCACTTCACCACTGTGGCTGGATCGCTCTTCAAGTGTTATGCTAGGCGGCTCGGTGCATGTTAGCTGCTGTCATGTGACACATCAGCTGGACCGGCTGAAGCGATAGGCTCGGCGCGAGGTGGGCGTGGTTCCGTTTTAGGAAATAAATATATGTTTTGAATGATTCTGGTTGATTTTTGCTGTGCTTTAGGTTCTTTAATTTATTCAATGTATTCTAAATCGTATGTGAGTGTAACGAGGTGTGTTCCAAGCTTTGGTGCCAAGCCAAGCGCTGTCAAAGCCTGGAGTGTTTAACCGTGTTTAAACTGGGTATGACTTTTTACTTTTCAGGAAACACAACTAAGCTTTTGATTGATTTTTTTTTAGAAAAAAATACTCTATGGTTGACCATTCATTGTGTATATACATTACTGTTTTTTTTTTAAAATTGTTTTTGATTACGTTAATCATCTAAAATGAATTTAAAACACTCTGCTCTTGACCCAAACACGACTGTACTAAACAACAACGGGGTCATTTATATTGTATACATGTTTGCTACACGATCACTGTGCTTTGTGATATGCACAATATGTATATGTACTATATACAAGTAACGAAGCTTTCGTATTTCATAATTTTTGTTGAGGCTCTTAGCTCGTCCTGTCTCTATCAAGTTAAAATGTTTCATTTCACAGCCCCCCCCCCCCCCCCCAAATTGCGTTGGTCTGGTCCGTTGTTATGCGTTGGCCAATGTAGACGTTCTCCAGGGTGATGGAGAAGATGTGACAGCGATCGGCCCTGATAATATTGCACGTTACCTTTTTTTGAAGCTTTTTTTGAAGTTGACTCCTGAAAGTTACACCGGTGAAAATATGGCCGGTATAAGGAGGATGAATGGGAAGTATTCTGGTGTCAACCCAGCTGTGAGGTAATGGCGATAATAACGTTGTAATAAAGCTAGTTCGGAGCTAACATTAGCCCAACAGCTGTATCTAAGCTAGCTACATTCCTTTGGCAGCTCGTTAGCTACTATCGCCATCTGACGTTTCAAACTAGGGCATGCAAAGATTGCAATCTTGATTTACTACTCTTTATTTGTCAGAGGCGTGAATTGTCACTTAATTGCAAGTTAAACTCCCAATTTAGCTAAGTATCTATACCATCTAATAATGTTTGCTTTCGCTTGTATTCAGTGACTGAATATGATATTACAAGATGAGCCTATGTGTGTGTTAGTGCCTACATATATTGACCGTCATTTAACCAGGAAAGTCCCACTGAGATTGCAGAATCCTGAGTCCTGGCCCCACAGAGAAGGGGTGGGAGTGGGGTCGCGGAGGTGTTCCCCGACTCCACTCTCGCCCCCATAATATGCAATGTAAATAATTATGCTAGTTCCAAACCAACACTTCACCAAAAGGCCCATATGATTAATAATTACCGAGCAATTAAGCAAGACTTTAATTTAGGATAGATTGCTGAAAGATTTACCAGCCTAAATGGTTGGCAAATTGATGTAGAGCCAGTACTAACCATTCACCCTCTTGCCAGATTCATGGGCACAATAACTGTTTGCAGCCACAGTTCCCCTACAGTGGTCTCCCTTCTCAGTGCTTACCAGTCCCCACACTGATCAGGCTTTGACAAGAAGACCTGCATGACATGGCCACATAGAATGGCCACATAGATGTTCATTGATGTATCAATCAAAATAAAACATGAAATTGTTAACAATGAGTGTTTGTTTTACGTATCATGTCTCTTTTCAGTCTGGCCATATAATCTATTGCATCAACACAAGAAAATGTATTTCATCCATGACAAATAATTTGTTCGGGGGTTCTTCTCTTAGCTGTTGTCGCCTTCGGAAAGTGCAATCCTTGCTCTGTGGTGGCACTGCATCTCCAGATGGCATACTGTGCTCTCTTGGTATGTTTACGTAATAGTAATGAGACATTTTTTCCTTTCTATAAGCTAATTATTTTTTGTGCACTGTAGGAATTGATAGCCGATATAATGAAGGATGTACAGAGCTCGCCAAATACCTGTTTTATGGACTTTACTGTAGAAAACAGCTCAGTCTCGACCATGCTAGCGAAGAGTTTTCTGAGGAAATGCTTGATGGTATACTGCGATTTTTCCTGCAACACTTAATGTATTTTTTTTAACTTTATCTTGAAATGATGTGCTTTTTTTCAGATGTCATCTTGTTGATTAAGTCAGAGTGTGTTCATCTTTACTGCAACCCTCAGAACTACAGCTATCTTCTACCCTACATATCCCACTGGAGGAATTTGCACCTCTACTGCATGACTGAAGCAGAGGTTTTCTATTGCTAGTATATCAATGACTAGTGATAATATTTCTTGCTGCTTAATATTTATATCTTAATTCCAGTATGAAGACGAAGAAGCTGCAGAAGAATTTAAAATCTCCAGTTTTGTCACTATGGTGCGAGACTGTTACAATATTGGTGTACCTTACAGTTCTCGAGGTAATACATAAAAACATACACAATTCTGCAAATTTACGCCACATGTTTTTATGTTTTCTTTTGTCTCAGAACATTTCCAAAAGTTTGATATGTTTATGGTTGAAAAATGGCCCTTGATTCAAGCATTTGCATTAGAGGGGATTGGTGGAGGAAGCTTTTTTACCCTAAAATTCAAGGTACATTTATTAACACGATTCACATCTTAATATTGATCCAATATTATTGGCAGCTGCTGTAACAATTTTTACATTTTTAAGCTATTGGACATAAGTGAGAAATTGTGGGAGGTGTATAACAAGCTGGACCCGGTGTCTCTTGAGCTTTTTCTCTCAGAGGTAACAGAAATGTTTTTGTATGTTGTTTTCAACTCTGTTCCATACAACCTGCATTGAAAAAAAAAAATGTATTTAGGACTTGGTCACATTTGAGAAGCAATGGAGCAGCTTTTTCTCCAGCATGGACCTGGAGAGCCATTTGTCCATCCTCGAATTGTCTGAAGCTCAGGCAGGAGAGGTGAGTTTGGACATTATTTGATCAATAGCACACAGTATATGGAGGTATGGCCCTTGATTATTTCTAGTTGTGTGGGTATGGTCAAAAGAAAAAAAGAAAAGACATCAGTTATTGCTTGCCTAAATGTGGTCTATTGTTGAAATATTGTTGAAACTTGATTTAATTGTGTTTTCCATGCAGTCGTTTCGGACATACTATTGCCATGGACTAATCTCAAGCAATATCACTGTTAAAAGGTGATTTATTAAGAAAAAGTTGTTGTGTATGCATTACTGAACGTAACATTTTATTTAATTCAGTCTTTTTGATATTTTCCAGTTACAATCAGCAACCCTTTGTGCTTTTTGGAACACACAGTTCTTCTGAGGATTTAGAAAACTACTCATTCAACTTTCCCTCAGAGAGTCACCAGGTCCGCAACACTGGGCCCCAGGGTTCCACTGCCAAACACATGGTAAGAAAAAAGCCTATCTTACATGTAGTGAACTGGAATGGTGTCAGCATTCAATCTTGACAGAGAATACATACATGTATATAAAGTGCTAATGCAGGGTGTACTGGGCAATGCCCGAAGGGCCGATGCCCATATTTGGGCCGGCCTGTGAGCCTCATACAAAAAGATATTTTTGAGAAATGTGTAAATCTGTTAAGAAATGCTCGAGGGGGGCGCGGGTGACCACGGGGCACTTGCTGTTGATTGCTGTATGAACTCGAACGGGATTCCACATCCTCCTCCTTGTTGTGTGCGTGTCTTTGCGTAACCAGTTCACGCAATAAATACAGCGCTGCAAGAAACAGTCCGGTTCTTCCTTGTGTCTCTTACCAAAACGCAACTAAACTTGCTAAATTAAAGCTGGGGTACTTTCATTTTCCTCTTGCATTAACAGTTCATGATGGTTGTGCCTAAAAGAAAAATCTTGTGAACATTAATCAGATTTAATGACAGCCATTGGCTAACATTATACATTTCAGACTTCTTTGAAATGTCCCATTCTCATCCCTCATCAATGATTAATCTCAATGTAGATCATTGCACTTTATTATAATTGTTGAAACTGCATATATCCTGAGCCTCTACAGTATGTGCTCCGCATACTGTAAAAAAGAAATGGACGGCCGTCAAGGAGGCAAAAAGGCCCGGGCTGTTTTTCGGTCTCAGTCCAGCCCTGGTAGAGGGACATGCTGTGGTGAAAGGATAGTCAGTGCCTATGATATGAAGTTGTTAACTTGTGTTCTAGGTTCTACAGTGTGTGGCGCCTAAAGGCCCTTTATCCTGCTCAAGGACTTACTTCTTTGGAATGACACACGTGCCATTTCTTGGTAAGACCTTGCTCATTGTGAAAGAGACAGTACTGTTTCTTTATTATTCCTCCTTTGATCCAGTGCACGAGTTACCAGTATATGTATTTGAGTTTGTGACATGCACAATGATATCGAATGTATCATTCAATAACTTAAGAATTTGAAGATGCAAAATATTTTTTTGAATTTTGGCAAAATTGGGTTGAGCATAGGATAAGGGGCCAAAATTGTGTTGTAGCTGAGAATTACATTGAATCAAATGGAATGTTCCCTGTGCTTACGTTACGTATTGACAAACTGTAAAAGGTACCCAGCATTTGTCTGTGGTCGTGTTAGTGTCGTTTTCTTTTCTTTATGGAATATACCACAAGGGCTCAAAGGTAGTATCTGCATTTATTGTTTTTTTATACCTACAGGGTATGAGAACACACAACAAAAAAACCCTGATGTTTTGTGAGTATTGACTTTATTTAATACATTTATTGTACAATAACCTTGATTCACATAAAAAAATCTTGTTTTTCAGAGTTTTGTCCCAGATTTATGCAGCACTTGTTCAGGCTGTGTTATCAGGAATCAAATGCTACTCATCCACCTCTAGTCTGACTAAAGTGAGAAAATTCACATTATCACCAAAACTATTGCTTGTGAAGTTACACATTAATGTTGTCTTTTTAATTTGACTAGGCTAAGGATGTGGCAGACAATACCTTTTTATTGACTTTAGACTCAATGAATTTAAGTCAGTACCGCAGTGCTCTGAGGTAATGACAAATATATCAGTGTGTGGAAAATGTTATTTATAATTCAATTGCCTTATTTTCTTTAAAGGTCTAAATGTGACTTCAATATTCAGGCTGTAGATAATCATGGAAGGTACCATCAATTGGATATTGCTTGTTGTTTTACTGGAGATTCCTCTTAATGTTTTTTATTTCTATCAGAGTGATGCCGCTGAACGTTGATGGTAGTAGCTCCTGGGTGAAAACGGTATTTTTAAATATTCTCCACTATTTTTTTTTTTTTATATATAACTCTTTAAACATTTGGCAAACATAACCAAAACATGAACTTTTTATGATCAGCTTAACATTTACTATCATTTATTCCTTTTATTTGCTTCTTGACACTAACTGCATTGATATTTTAGTTGAAAATGTTGCAAACTTGAACTTAGAATTTTGTGTGGTCAAAGGCCTCTATGACAGTGCGCAACATCCCAGACCTGCAGTGGGACCGGGGTGACATGGGCTCTATCATCTTCTCTGAATCTTTCCTGGAGTCCAGCATCAACATTCAACAGAAAGGTCGAGCCTTAATTCGGTCATTTCTAAGTAGACAATGATTGATCCATTTTGTGATCAAATTCAAAATTCTCATGTACTTAAAGCCAAATATGACATCCTTCTAAATCTGCAGATGCAAGACAGAATTTGCCATTTATCATCCTCCCATTGTACAGTTGGTTTGTTCTCAGTCACATCTGTTTTCCTCCTGCAGATGGCACTGTGTCTTCAGATAGCTGCTACACTGTCCTCACAACGTCAGTGCCTCGCTACGCCTGTTGGCAGGTATGTGTGCAGTAGAAAATACAACTTTAACCTGATATGGACAAGTGGCAAACATGTTCGACATTTCATCAACATTTACGCTTACTTCAATATAATAGCTGGAATCTGATGTCAAACAAACCGAAGAAACACTAAATCTTACAAAGGTAAATCATCAGGTGCAATGAAAACAGAATGATTACAATGTAGATGTATGTAAATCAAATCAGTTGATGAAGGGATTTTTGTGAATTCTCAATAGAAAGAAGATGGCTGCTTGGGTTCTGCTCTGACTGCTGCAGATGCTGCCTATGTGCACTCAAGCAGTTATCTCTCCACACCCGAAGAAGGTAATGATGAAAATAATGTTGGGTATTTTTTGTGTGTGTGTCATTTCATCATTTCAAAGATGTTACTATTTTTAGGGAAGATCGTTTTTTTCTCAGAGGGGCTCATGTTTATTCATTCTCAATATGGAAGCATCACTATTTCAAGAGATCACATCAGCTCTATTAAGCTATATGACTCTGTAAGTTATTGTATTGTGAACTTAATTTTTTTGCACCAAAATCACATCATTTTCTTGTGGAACCTCTATAGGACACTTTAGCCTCTCTGTTTGTGGAGTATGAGAAAACTCTGCTGCCACATCTTCCATTTCCTCTGCACAACTCAGACCAGAGTCTTGTGTTTGCTCTGCAACCTCGATCCAAGAGCCACAGAGCTTTTTATTCCAAGGTAAGACATTCTGGGAACCACTTTAGAATAAAAAACTTAACAAGAAGGTCTCCTTCCCTTTGGATCCCAGAGACATCTGTGGACAGCATAATCTGACACTCTTCTTAATCCTCCTCTGAGATCAGAGACTGGATCTGCTCACTGTCTGAGCTTTTGATTTACAAATGTCCTTGTATATATTTAAATACATTTAATGTGAAAATGAGTGTTATACTAAAGCGGCAAACCGACTGCATGAGTTTTCTGCCTGATTTTAGGCCAATTTCCCCCCTTCATGGGTTTGAGAATATTAACAATTAATTTACGAATTTATTTCTTGTAAGACTCGTTAGGACTTTCGGGTCAGTGTGATTCTGCCATAGTGACGGCTCTCAAACTAGCAGATGTAGTCCAAATTGGACGTGCCCATCCAATTTGGACTACATCCAAATTTGTCTTTTAAAAGTGACCTTTGTTACTGTGTAGTTCTAGGTTTAGTCTGTTAAAATTACATAAATTTTTAAAGACTTTTTAAGGCTACACACAAAATCAAATGACATCGAGGTCAATTAAAAGACAAGGAAGAACGTTTTTTGTTGAATTAAATTACAGCAGCGTCCTGAGATCTCTAAGAAGCATATCGTCTGTGAGAAAAATAAGATTATAAACCCCTGTAGTCTGTAGCCAGTTTTACTAAAGATATTTTTTTAAATTCATGTTAACCCTAAACTTGGTTGACTTGTTTTTTTTCCACCTTTATTCCCTTGAGATAGGGAGACCTGGCCAAACGCACCTTGATACAGTTTATTGACAGATTCAGTGAAAAATAATTGTATAGAATATCCAGCTTAAGAGTGACATCTGCACAATTCAGCTAAACAGATTTTAGAGATCAGGGTACTTATGATAGTAATATAATGTACTTATATTGTTTGCAAATCTTTACAGATGTCTATTTTGTCATCTCTTGCTGTCTCCTGCGAATGCACCTCTAGATCAATCTGCATTTCATATTCTGTTCCAAGAATATTTACTTTTTTCAAACAGTGGCAAATTTGTGTACAATCTTCCATAAGATACTATCATGTATTTTGCTTGTTGTAGGTTTTACCTGTTTGGCAAAACTCAGACTCTGGACTAAATCTGCAAGTTGTGGACAAAGAACAGTTGGGCTGGACCCAAACAAACATGTACTGTGCACTCTGTCTATTCATAATCCTCTATTAGCAGCTAAATTGAATTATTGTTTATTTGTATTTCGAGACTCCTGTAAACTCTTTCTTGCAGGCACTGCAGACTCCAAAAGCTTCATGAGAGTCAGGAGCCTCCAGTGGCCAAACGCAGAGGAAACATGACGACCTCGTGTTCACAGCTGCCAGAGCTGGACATGTCAGTATATAACCCAATAAACATAATTCAAACTTTAATTCATTATATACTTTATTTATTATTTTTCTGTATAATGTTGAGATATTTCATTATTTAGATATGTCATTTTGAGCTGCGATGGTTTATAGTTCAATTATGACTTAAATCTTGTGCTCCTCCAATAGTTTTGCATTTAGGGTGAGATGTTATCTAGTCTAGTGATGTACTTTTTAATGTTGATGTGTAAATGTAAATGTGCTTTTATGATAGCTTTGCCAAATTGTCTTCCTCTATGTTAATTCCCTTTCCTTACTCTCCCCAGGTTTCTCCAGCACTTTGCTTTAAGTACCATTAGTCATGAGCCCATTTTGAATGATCACCTAGGGGCACTCTTCCCCTCCACTGAGCTGAGGAAACCAGTCAAGAGCCAAGGAGACAAGGTAGAGGACAGTCTCTGCTCTTTATTATCCTTCATGGAGTGACTGTAAAGAAGTGCTTACCTGACCTGGAACTTGTTTGTGTAAAGGTTGTCATTACAATCATCACCGGACTTCCCAGGAGCCATAAAAACAGACTTGGTCAATTTCTGGTGAATTTCAGTAAAGACCGTGGAAGGTGGGCAATAATACAAATGTGAACTTGTCAAATTCATTGCCATTATTGTTAAAAATAGAAAAAAGTAGAAGACAGTCTTTTTCAGTATTACATCCTCTCCATTGTCTTCTTGGTAATGTCTATTTGTTGTGTGCAGTTGTCTTCAAAACACAGTTGTATGTTGTAAATAATTTTGAATCACTGTTAACTTATTAGTACTGACAGCAGAAATCTAACGCTCTGTGATTCCCCTTTAGGTGGGTGGTATATGAGGCTGGTTCTGACAGCTGCGACACTTCCACAGCCTCTCACCTCCAGCAGTTCTTGTCTGGTTTCCTGGGGAGCCACGGAGGCCTGAGAGGCAAAGCCCGTCTGCTGCTGATCTCACCTGGGTAGGGATGCCCTGAGACCTGCCTCACACTGAGCACAAACAAAGCCACCACATTATAACACTTTAGCATCAAAACAACACAGGAGCTGCAAGAGAGAAGGAAGATACGGTTTTGCCAGTGTAGTGTTATTGCAATTACCAACACTTATTTGATCTTTTCTAGGAGTTTTGAAAGCATATTGTTTAAATATTTGTTGAGCAAATTAAACCTTTCTTTGCTGGGTAAGTAACCAACCAGGATTAAATTACAGGTTTGCTAAAGCCTTCCGATGGTCAGTTGTGATTTGCTCTTGAATATTGCTTTAGAATAGAAGTTTTACAAACAATGTGATATCTATTGTCTGTGTTTTCTGTATCTATTATAGCATTCATCTCGTTTTGCTCTAGATTTTTCTCAAATCAATAAAAGATATTCTAGTCCCTGGGCTGTTTTCAAGACCAAACAAACTATTATTCACCACTACTATTATAGGTATTAAGACGTGAATGTGCTTTCCACAGATACATGGATGTTTTGGATGTGGTCCAGGCCATTCTCTTCCACCCTGATCCAGCCATCCAAGCTCGTTTCACCATAGGTGCAGTCACAGCCTGCGTTGACCCCCTGGCCTCCTTTATGGAGCACAGGTAACATAATGAAGATCTGCTTTGGTTCTTCCCATTCACTCAACACAAAGACTCACTCACAACAGCCCCAGCATCCCATTGTGCCATAAGTAATGGATTTCAGGGCGGAGAGAGTTCACACCTGGATTAACACTGGCCCTTCGTTATACAAGCTGAAGAAGGCATTTTAATTTCACCACAGATAAGAACGCTATATTTATTCCTAAAATAATGTATATAGTCTGTCATCATAATCTCCATTTTGACCACACTTTAGATAGATGAAACAGAGCAAAGCAGTTCAGAAAATCTTGCTGAAAACTGTGGATTTTCAAAGTAAAAATGTCCATGATAAAAAGGTCACAATACAAAGAGAAAATAACACCCCTAAAAAACAACAAGTTCATTTGCATCTCTGGTTGTTGCAATGACCCAAGTAAACACTGGGATGACAGACAGGACAGGATGTTGATAAATTCTAATCGCACTCCTGGAGGTTATGTGACACTTTTGGTTATTAATACTCAGGACCTAGTGCTTTTCAGCAAGAGGATCAGACGTACATTTAATCTAACTGTGCTTTTGTTACAGGATTTAGTCGTAGCTTACCGAGCTTCTCACTGTCACAGATTGACTCTTTTGCTCCACACAATACAGCACACCACTCTGTTTAATAGTCTTTTCCACTGCACTGTGAGAAGCAAGGCAAGCAATTATTTGACTTTACTGAAAGTTTTTAAGGCACATATTCAAAATATTCCCGTGCTGGGCTGATACAATTTATGATATTGGGTTGGGTTAGCACAAAAACATATATATTCGAAACTGAGGACAAAATTCACATTTGTCCCAATTTTAAGCTCCTTTTTATACCTCTAACAGTCATCAAAAATTCGTTGTTTGCCGTAAGATCTAATATTTGTCATAGAGTCTTAAGTTTTTTCAGTCTAGTGTCATACATTATGAATATGGTTATGTCCCCCCAAATGACAGCTCCACTCGACTGCAGTAGAAAAATGTGTAGGTTTAGTCTGCTATGCAGTTAGTATTGACTTTTCCATTTGAGACATCTTCAACAAGCCCCCTGCCAATTGCTGTTGCTAGGGGCTGGTGTATGGATGTCCCTGGACCCCAGTGTAGCACTAATTAGGTGTGGTTAGCTTAGCTTAGGCCTGACCTGGTTGTCACCCCCACAGCATAGCCCGCTAATCTCCCTGATCCACATGAGCAACCCACTCTCTCTCCTCATTGAAGCTCATCAGTCAGTCATGATCCATTCTTTGTGATGGATGTGGACAGTTCATTACATCAGGACAGAAAGATAAATGCCTTTCAAAGAGCCGATCCCCCTGCACACAGGCTTCCAATACTGCACAGTGCTGGTGCGGCTTTGATAACATGGAGCCTAACTCAGAATGGTTGTTCAGTGGTTAACCACTGATCGGTTTAAATATATATCTGGATGAATAGTTCTTTTTATAATCTACCTGAAATCTAATAGCTAAAAGCCTTTTAGTGTGCGGTTACAAGCTGTAATGATGCCATTTGAGAAAGATCTCTTGACAAATTTAACATGACCTAACTGTCGCATCAAATTGTGTTTATTTTATGTAGTAGAATTAAATTTAAAAAAATTTATTTCCACAACAAAAAGAGAGATTCTATATTTTTGTGTCTGGACTGTACAAATCACTCCTTCGTGTTAGTAGTGTTAAACTCATACTTAGGGTGCCGATACCCACTCACTCACATACAATATATACATATGAGGTAAAATTATGTAGTGTGCTGCCTAGGAACACAATGACAGTTTTAACTAGAACCATAACCCTCTACGGACTGATTATCAACTGGCGGTCCGCGGGCCAAATCCGGCCCTCTGAGCCGTTTGATCCGGCGTGAAACTGCATTCCAAAATTGCGAGGATCACGTGATTACAGCTCGATTTGCTCACATCTTCTTTCCACAAGCTGTTATCAGTTTAAACAAAGCACTTGTAATGATCTTGTATTGAAACAGTGTCAATTGTTTCCTGTTTTGTTTATTTTATTTCTTTACTTTTTACCTTGTTTTATTTCTGTTCTTGTCTTGTATCTGAATCTGATTTAATTTTCTCTTTGGGGGTCCGGCCCCAGAGGAGACTGTCTGGTAAAACTCTGGCCCTCTGACAAATATAGTTGATGACCTCTGCTCTACGGAAACTACTCCCAGTGGCCATGCATCCAAGTACACTGTACTAGCCACAACTTGCTAAGCTTGCAGGATTTGACAAAATACTCTAATGCTGTGCTTAGTGAAAGCTTATCTTCAGTACATATCAATGATCATTGCTGAAGCTGGACATTTTAATAAAACTTGTACACTGAAACGTCTGCATGTCTGTCCATGTAATAATGTGATCTCAGAAAATAATGTCATGTGCGTCAACTTTCATATCTTTGAAAAAACATTCTGTCTTTTGTTTTTAGGTTTGCCTTCCCCAAACTATTAGAGCAATGGAGCCAAGGTAAGCCAACCAAGTGTGACATTCTGAAATCAAAATGAACTTCAGTGCTTTGCTATTTCTGCTATATTCCTAAAATAGGATATGGATGATTTTTTTCCTCTTTTTGCTGTGTGTCAGGTATTGTGAGTACAGTGGTGTTCACTGGTCTGACAGCGGAGCAGAAGCATCCTCTCTTGCAGCATGTTCAGCAGTTGGTACGCTCTGCCAACCCCACCGCTGCCTTCATCCTGGCTGAGAAAGGAGCTGTCACCAGGTAGGCGCCTACTGAATTATGATCAATGCCACAAACAGTCACTTTACCGCCTTTATCATTTCACAATATATTCACTACAGGCTACAACTGCCATTTTTACACAGGCGAGTGTCTAAATCTGGCTAGTCAAAGCTTTGTGGAATTCCTTTTGAGTAGCCTCTTTACATAAAAGTCTGATCTGCTTTTTCTTGTCCACACTTCTGCTTGCAAGGTGGAAGTTTACAATTGAGTATTAATTAGTTAGTGCATTTTATTGCCGGGTCAAAGATTAACGTTTTTTATCTCTCCTTTAGGAATGAAGATGTGAATATGATACTGTCGGACAGCAGCTTTAATGAAGCGCAGATGCTGAGAGCGCGTTACGTCCTTTATCCCGGCTGGTAAGACCATCAATGTGACCCCTGCGTGCTGTCCACTCAACCTTCAAGCAGCAGATTGGTCCAGATTCCTGATGCAGAGTTCGCCTTTCGCACTGTAGCCTGAATTCCTCCCTGTGGCTTAATTGCCTGCCGGCGGCGGTGCTCGGAGTATCGTAGGCTGATTGCTGTAAAGCCCCTCAGGACGGCTTGTGTTCTCTCACCAGCTGCCTCCTGGAAGCACAGTAACAAGCTACGGCACTGTACACACAGGGGGTCTGCTTCCTCAGGAGCAGAGCTATGCCTCAGCGCTCAGCCTAATGTGAACTTCAGCTAAATCCCATGTGCACATGTGACACTGCATTTACTGACCTGTGAGCTTTAATTGAGGTAAATGCCTCTCCAGTAGAATAAACTTCTTTTTGAGAAGCCATTTTTTTTGTTTTTAAGGGCATCATCATTAGAGTTCATGTTCATGTGGTTCTACATACACTGTATGTATACGTATGTATTTTTGTAAAATGAGGCCACAAATAAAAACTACAGGCGGCTATTGGAGAAATGCTTTTGTTTTAGTGTGTTTTAGTTGTTTGTGGGAGATGACATATCAAAAGAAAATTGTCCTGGAAAATTACTTGAGTTGAACTGAGCGCTGTGTACTGTGTGTTTCAGGTGCAAAGGCCAATTCTTCACTGGCACCGGGTCCCTGGTCCTCTCTCAGCAGCAAGTGGCATTCGCTCGGCCCCTGGAGAGGCCTTTATTTGTCGCCTGCTGCAAAGGTGAGATGAAACAAAATGCCTGGCCCTTGTTTGACTTTAACACGTGGCATCGACCTTAGATACAGTCTGGCAGAGTTTAACCAGGGTTATATAAACTCCATCCATCCATCCATTTTCTACCCTTTAATCCATTTCTGGGTCAGGGGGGTGGCAGTCAGAGATGTCACCCAAGTCTCATAGCACCAGCCCCTCACTGACCCTCTGCAGGTGGTGAGTCCACAGGAGGACGGCTGCTCTCTGAGTGTGAGCATAGCCTTGATCTTTCAGTGGGGGCTTTGGGCAAAGTGGGGTTAAGTGTCTTGCCCAAGGACACAACGACAGCAGTCATCAGTGGGAGTCAGTGGAGAAGGTGCAGAGGTGGGAAATGAACCCACGACCTTCTGGGCTTAAGGCCAATGCTCTACCAACTGAGCTACTGTCGCCCTCTATATATATAAACTCTATACCACCTAATATGGAGACACCTACGCTCACAGTAATTGTCTATGAAAGCTAGAACTCCCTCCAATGAGTGAACAATATATGTTTTGAGAAATATAAAAGATCATCATATAAACACAATTTTATCACAATAAACAGTATCATTGCTTCATTATCTTTTCATTTGATTTTTTCGCAGCATTAAAGCTTGATTTGAAACCCAGCCCTTTCCATGGAAATATTTACAATATTTCAGGAAAAGTGTGCTTTTCTGGTAAGGAAGTGTTTTGAATTACATGTAAGAAAATTATATATGACTTTAAACGTTTGTGGACATTACTAGATTGTTTTCCTCAGAAAATATATAGTATCTGGTTAGCTACTTAAAAATGTACTGATAGCATATATAGATAGAAATGCTGATTTGTGTTGATGTTTTTGCTGACATTTTCCATTAAACATGTGTGATTTCTGGGAACCACTGGAGTCACTTAAAGGTTAAATGTATGTAAAGACATAAACACCTCTCGGAGAGCCTGCTGGCAGCTTATAAACCCGTTGTGGCAGGTGTCTTATGAAGTGTGAACCAGTCTTTCTTCTTTGGGCTTTTAGATTCGGACAAAACCATGGAGGTGACTTACAACACAGTGAGTGGGACCCTTAGCATTGTTCCTGCTTTGGGCCCAGAAACCATTTCCTGCTGCCTGGTCTTTGATGGTGTTGGTCTTAGTGAAGATCGCCTGAAGGACTGGCTTCGTGCGTGCACTAAGCAGGTAGACAGAAGTCAATTGGAAGGAGGAAGGAATCAAGAATAACCATCTAAACTTACAGATTTGACTTTGTAACTACAATACTAAAACTAGGTGAGGAGTTTTAACAAGACAGTCACTGAAATGCATCTGTATTTTGCTAGAAACCTGTAATGAAGACAAAGAAGACCAAAGCTAACCTCACTTCACAAGAAATGAATATGATACATGTGAGTATTTGTCCTTCACCCTTTGATCAGAGACAATGCATTACATGTATAATTGATTTGTTCATCGGAGCAGGCGACCAGGCATCTGGATCCAATGCCAGCAGGCTATTTCTACAACGGCCACCAGTATGTGAACTTTTTTGGGGAGAAAAGAAACCTTCATCCCAGTATCCTTTGCATTTGAGGATGTTGTTATAGTCAAGATGGTAAATAGCTTGTCCGTGGCAGGCACATTATTTTTCAGTTAAATATTAGTATTATACGCATATTTGGTTGGTTATGTATACTTACATTAGTGTTACTCAGACATGGACCAATTCATTGACGAGTACATCGCAGAAGCCAACAAAGAAATTGAGCTTTTCAACCGAGATCTGGAGTTACACAGGCAGCCCGACCTGTTCGACCCATGAAGGAAGTGTCCGTACGTCCAGCATCACTGGGGGGATGGGGGGGGGATGGGGCAGGGACATTCCTCCACATTCCTCATAGATGTCCATTATGCACTGGCAGCTGTAAGGGCCCTTTGCACGTTTATCAGCGACGTCACTTTAAAACATGGAAAATTTTAATGCTGCTTCGTTACAATTACATCACCCTTCACAAGGCAGCTGACATATTGCGTTTGCATTTGTCATCTTGGAAGAGGGAAATCGATGGGGTTCTTGTTGGTACAGACAAATTATGACTTATTACAACCGGTGACAAATGTAATGAGTCTTTTCTTTTCACTCATGTTACGAGATGGTGAGTAGAGAAGAGAGTCAAACAGCAGCATTTCAAATAACAGTAATTCTCGGTACATGCAATTATATAGTATAGAAAATACTTGCACAACTGAGGGGAATTTCCTAATGCACACTCGCAGCTTTTGCTTTATCTCAGTTGGCAAATTAAAGCTTCTATTTTGGGCTTGGCGCGGACGGGCGTGTGATATTCAGTGGGCTCCCACAAGGGTTTTCTCAAGAAGAGCTCCTCCTCTGTTGTCACCCAACCCGGGCCCCACCTGTCGGCTTGTCTGCGTGCCACAGCAGAAGCAGCGCCGAGCCTGGAAGCGCGGTAAACACTGGTCGCCGGATGACAACTGATGAACGCTGCCATTAATCACATCGCGCTCTTTATTTTAAGACTCTAAAGTGAATCTAATGAAAGTGCAATAAAGCAGACGTGACTCCTCCAAGCTAAGCAGTGTTGTCAGAACAGCTGCGGCCCCTGAGTTACATCACCAAGGGTCTTCACAGTCTATAGTATTCACTCTATTAAGAAGCACAGTTTTAACTAGACATTTGCAACTGCAATTGTATTCATTTTCAAAATAATATTACATGTAGTTTGCCCATGTTGTATCATCTAAATTAAGTATTATTCCAAATATAATATAAATATATTTTAAACCGTCCCTCCCCTTGGCCAAAGCATAAGCAGTAGGATTGGCTGGAGGAGACTAGTGAGACCTATGGTGAGGGGCCCCAGCCGTCTATCAAGGATTAAAATTATTAATCAGGGACCTGTGGGTTGCATATATTTGAATTCAACTGAATTCAACATGTTTATTTGTTATATTTTGTCTCACATTTAAGGTGGAGCAAGTCCTTTCTTTACTCCTTAAAGATGCTATTGTTTTTTTTTTTCTGGGAATGTGGGACAAAATTATCCTGATAAAATGTATTAAATTGTTTATAGTTTATAGCAGTAGAGGAATATTTCTGACAAGGTACAAAGTACCATCCTCCTGAAAACGTACATAATGCATCTTTAAATAGGAATTCAAAATATACATTTGATTAGTTCTCTATTGTTTCGTTCACATTTTTGTGTTTGTAGTTCCGATTTGGCCCCGGGCTGGGTTAAATTAAGGATGAGTTTGAGTTTATTTGGATTGAGGAATGTTTGCAAACATGGATCACAGTGTGGCAACTGGTGCGGTCTTGCTTAAACCCAGATGTGGTCTGTGGAGTGTGTGCAGCTTCAACCTTCTTTTCAGATTAAGTTCCTGCATTTTTACATTCATTTCTTTTCAAATCTGTGCACAAGAATGTGCATTTTATTTTAATGGGTTCATCTGATGCTCAAAAATATATTCATATTTTAGTTAATAGGTAAAAATATATTTATTAACCAGATTATTTGTCAAAGGTCACATATGATATTGACTATGCTTTGTCATATAAAAGATTGTTATAGATTGTTGTACTTATACAACTTAATTGCATATTCAATATTTGTTCTACAGAACAATTAATAATCTTAAGATTAAATCTGAGTTGAATGTCAAATATATATATAGTAGTGTAGGGTTTTGTGTTTTAAGTCTCCTGTCATCTCATAAAAGGGTCTTAATTCATAGGTTTATTTTCAACGTCGGAGAAACTGTTCGTGCTTGCTCTATTTCTGTCAATAGACCCTTTTAATTAAGGCACAGCCACTGTCTAGATTAGCACTTGTATGTCTTGTAACCAAACATTCTGACCTCAACGTCCATTTTCACTCTTCTTTAATCTGAAGGTTTTTGTTTTTTGAAGTGCAATTCTACATTATTTGTATGTACTGTCTTTTAACTGTACCCTTCCATGAGTCTTTAAGGACAAAGAGACTAATGAGCTGATGAATTCTCTACTCTTTCACAGCTTGGAGTATGGCTTTACTCAAAGTCATTTCAAAGCAAGCAGTGATTTGGTGACATTTATTAGGACCACACATGTCATACCAAACTAAAGCAGGAGAATATTATTAGATATGTGTGGCTTTCTTTTCTATCAAAGTTATGCAAGACTTTATGTAAGAGATTAACAGCACAAAGTCCTTAAAGACTGGGGGTTTCTGTAAGGTGCCACTAACATACTATTTGTGGTATGATATTAAATGTGAGACTATGTCAACAGGTCAGGCATAACATTATGATCACTAGTTACATAATAGTGCAACTTTTCATTGAAGATTAAATTGCAAGCGTCTTAAGCTCAATTTCACAAAGGTTTTCAATGATCAGATTGTATCTAAAGCTGCAGCGCTTGAGGGGTATTCCTCGTCTACAGGAAGAAAAATGTTTAGCATTTTGTCAGGTGGTTAAAATGTCATGTCTTATCTATATAGCTTGAAACTATTTTGCATGTTCCAAATAGAAGAACAAATATAGCACTTGTATATATCCTCCCAACCTTTGCCTTTCACCAACACAGAGTAAAACACGTCTATTTTAAATTACCTCAAAAATTAGTATTTTTTATACAACTGCGATTTCACACAAAAAACAAAAATGATGCAATTTAAAGGATGAAATCAACAAGAGAATCTGACTTGGTTTCTCTGATCCAGCAGTGCCTCGACAGCCGACTGAAGGATCTTTCTGACAAAGTGTTGGTGAAAGGAAACCATGAATTGTTCTTCTGAAACAAACTGCTAATTTCTTATTGACAGAGGGTAAAGTAGAAGATGGAACTCACGGGCCGCTGGAGGGCTCAAAACTACTCAGGTAGTAAATATTGCAATGTGATAGTTGTAGTTTCTGCTATCAAATATAACACCAATAATTAATTTCTTTTCATTTTTTAAACTGGATACAGCATTATTAAACTTATATGTCATTCAGCTCATGATGGACTTCAGGCACCAAGGTAGCTCCTAAATTCGGGACACTTTCTATACAGCGACTTGGCTTGCCACAAATGTCTCCCAACATTTTTACTGTCTCAAAAAAACGTTGGTGCCTAAAGGGTTAATATCACAGCAGCTTCAGCTGCAGTGATGAAGCAACCTTCGAGACTAGTCGACAAATTATATGCAACATATTTTGAAGAATGTCGCTTCTATACCTACTGTACAATGATTCTCTAGAAGTCTGAGCCCTCCAAAGCCTCTTGATGCAGCTCTTCACTGCTCTCTGTCAAACTGACTTTTGGAGCTGATGTTATGGGACAAAAACAAGTTTGGTGAAAATAAATATGTACACATTGACATGTTGTAATGCATAGGGGGAACAACAGTCATTGGTTTCCAGTGGTATTTTTTCCTGTGTTGATAAGTTTAAAGATTTTGAAACAAACGTGGTGTTTTGATGTGAGAAAATTGTTTATGCAAGAAGTGACCAAATATCTCTAAAAACCTCAGGGGGATTTTGATTGTAAATGGATGCTCCGTCCTAGAGGTCCAAAGGGAACAAAAAAGTAATATATAAAACGTGAAATTGTTTAGATTTTATACACTTAAGTATTTGTTTGCTGTTGATAATTGATAGCAGGGTTAGTTTTGGGACTAAACCAAAGGGTCCTCTCCTTTTTATAAAGTGCGAAGAAAACTGGCATAATTGGTCTCTGTTGTGAAGAAAATGAAAAGTGCCAATTTGACCTTCACATCTTCAAGGGAGTGACTCAAATGCTTTTGCACAAATATGACTGCAACTTGTGTTTTTTTCCTGTGACTGAAGCTTTTATAACTGTCCTATTTATTGACTCACCATTAAATATTTATAAGATTAAATGACGGACCCTTGTCTCTTTATTAATCTTTGAAGATTCAAGAACAGTCAAACAGTTTCTTTGGCACATTCAATTCAAATCAGCATTGGTTAGCGTTACACAAAGACAACATACAGAAAACAATCTAGCAATCTACACATGTTTTTTGTTGAACATTCTTGAAGATTTGAATAAGACAATCTGTATTGTCCAAATGGGAGGCATACTGAGTCTAAAGCTGTTTTGCCCCCCCCTCTCTTCGAGAACTACACCAGTCCTTTTATGTACATCTTTTGGCACTCTGATGTTTTCAGTTTGTCAGAGTTGAGCAGCTGGACCTCTCTTCTCAGAGGAATCCCACTTGACGCTGTCCCACTGCGGCACACTTTTATTTCGGTTCGGTTCATAAGGAGAGAGGGTGTCCTTGTATTGTTGCCAGGCAGATCCAGCAAGCGGCATGGCTAACCTCTGACATCAACACAATCTCTACCCAGCGACTCAAGCAGGAGAAACCCCCCTGTCCCATTAGTAGAACACACTGGCACCACGCTTTTGGACATTGCATGTTTTGATGCTGTGTTTTAACTTTAGGTATCAACAAGAGGTTGTGTGAGGGGTATTATTACATGTAAACAAATCACCTTGAAAGCTGATCTGTTTATAAAGGGAGAGGCATATCCTGCTACACACGGACAACAACTATATTCTCATTTAAAGTTCCCATTAGAGTGCATTATGACACAAAGGGGATAGAATGATGTAAAAGGTGTTCCCTGTAGTTATTTTATGAATTGAAATACATTAGCAGGTTTCCTCATCCTGATGCCCAAAGTTGCAATCTATTAGTTATGTGGTCTTTGTGTAATATTGATTGCATTAACCAATCTTTCTTTCTTTAATAAGCTATTAATAAGCTAATACATACTGTATTCATGTTGTATCATTAAAACCATGTAAACTATTCATATAATTGCTGTGCAGTATAATCTGATGACCTGCCATGACCTTGTGTTTAGGCTTCTGACCACAGGTAATGGGGCCAGAGAGATCTCTGTTGAGAGATTGTTGGGGCTGAAGTTACATCAGAGCTTAAGAAGACCTCTACACTGCCAACACATTACAAAAATAGGCTCAATGTGTGTATGTAATTTTATATGACAATTACAAGTTGTGTGAACATTGAATTTTCCACTGCCAAGACGCTAGAACTTCATAATTTCAGTTTAGTTTAGTTGTAAGTGTGGGCTTGTCTCTCCTGATTCCAGAATGTCACTGATAAATTGGCTGAAAGTGTGCTGTAAAATTGTTGACTTAGTAATTTTTTTTCAACGTTCATATGGGGAGTGACCTTTCTGCAAAGTTATTGCATGTTTTAAGTTTGCATTGACAGATACAGAAGCCTTCAAATGGTCTTATATAAAGTTTATTCCATTTCACATTTAAAAGCAGGCACATGTCAAATGCCAGCGACCTCAATAGTCATTTTATTTACATAACTCTGGGGAAGCATCATGTCATTGTACTGGCAGAATTACATAACACAGAGCACATATAGTATCGCTGTTTCACACCACAGCTGAGCACCATTGACAACCAGCACTAAGCTCTACAGGGATTAGGCTCGGGCTTTCAAATTATCTTTCAGATATTTACCATTGTTGGTATGATCTAATCAACATTAAACTGATGAAACCTGAAATTCATATAAATATTCATTTACTGTATGAAACAACTCCCTGTTCTAATTGTGGTGATGGTCACAGAAGGTGTTATGTAAACCTGAAGTAATCTCACTATGTATTGTCTTATCAATTGTGCAGCAATGCTTTGGATTGAATCCTCAGTATCCAAAACATAAGGTTTTTTCTAGTTGCCTTCACTGTGGTTCAATACATTTTCTTATTTGATTTAAATGGATGGACACATTTTGTTTAAAGATACAAGTCTTCTCAGATATATTCATCGCAGAAATGTATATACACAATAGCACTTGGATCATTTCATGGAAGCAAGATCCATAGACAGGTCTCAAAGGAATCATGGCTGACGTATCACTGATTCAATAGTCTTTGAGAGTGCCAGGCTTTCTTTGAGCTTCTGGTGTACATTTTCTATATCTACACCTGAAGCCGAGATTTTGTTTTTGAGTTCTCTTATGAAAGTAAAATGTCCTGAAATGGGGGAATATGGAAGCAGGAGGTAAAGGTCTAAACACTTGCATTCTATTTTAGTTTTTAACTAAATACAGGCTTCAAAGAAACTGTATTTGTGCGTTTTCCAGATGTAGTTGTGAAAGTGTGATGTTAAACTTTAAATTAAAATGTAAAGCAGTACACCTGGAGGCGGACTTTGAATACTGTGTACATTTCTTATTAACTCATTGCCGGAATATTCATGATGCTAAGAATGGGTGGGAAAGTGAGCAACATGGACTCCAGTAAACAGTTAAAAATGTAAATCTAGTTCTATTTTCCACGGAATTAAGACAGTGAACATCTGTTTTTGAGGCCTTAAAAACTGTTTCTAAAAAAGAAAGTTTCAATTTCTCCATTCACTCCTTCTCGGCTGGCCTGACGTCAAAGGTCATCATAACGGCCATCTCTGCGCTCTCCCCTGTTGCTGCGGCCAGTTTGAGTGGTTGATCTCCTCCCACGGTGAATACATCAGCCTCCCAGACTCTGCTCTTGTTCAGCTTCAGATCAGTCCGGGTCTCCCCCACCACACACACCTTCTGCGCTCCCGGGACCCTCACCCTAAATCTCACCCAAGTTGCAGCCTCCAAAAGTCCCATTCTCGGCTCAAAGAGGACGCACCCTTTCCTCCATGCTGAGTAGACGCAGGGGAATGGCGGCCCTTGCTGATCGCAGACGTTTCTCAAAACAAAATCGCACATTGGGTTGAAGTTATCTCCTGGGGTGGTGCGTGCGTACAGCCCCAGTTTATACAACCCTCTTTCAGGCAAGGACACACTCACAGTCACCTTGCTCTCTGTATATGTGCAAAATAGATACCTGGATAAAGAGAGCGTGCCCTCTTTTACGATTTCGCTTCGGCTTAGAACGGTGTGAAGCTCTAGGTCCTGCTGGTTGTGAAACGTGATGTTGCATTTGCCCTGTTGCATGCTTATTACCCCAGTCGTGTGGCTGAATTTGGAAAATCCGAATTCAGAAGTGCGCATGCCTGGACCGCATGCCGAGCCTAAATTTGGCGGGAACAGCTCGTCAGGACTCGTCAGCTTCCCTTTGCAATGCAGCAGGAAGTTTCCCACGTTGTGAAATTTGACGTCTGTTTTCTGATAGTCCCTGACAAATACGGATAAGCGGTAGAATCCACGTTGCGGGCACAGTATGTGGCAAGTCAAGACGTCGGATTGAATTTGCGTTGCCAGGCAGCGTTTTGCGACTGCCGGCTCTAGTTGGGGGTGCACCAGTTCACAGACTAGCATCAATGGACGGGATGTTTTGAGCACAAGTTCACACGACCCTTCCTCGACTTGGAACAGCTCGCTACCTAAGCTGCTCCCAGACACACCTTTCACTTGCGCGTTCGGCTGTAGACCCCAAGATAAGAACGGGTTTTCAGGGATCTCCTCCATTGCTCGAGGTGTGGGACATTCCACGGTGAAAGAGCAAACCCACTTGAGGCTGGTGGTTGCAGCTTCAGGACGAGCGAAGATTCGGACGCCGTACGTTCCGCTGGCGGGGGGGAGGAGTTGGAGCTTCATTGTGCGGTGGGAGATGGTCAAAAGTCCGAATGAAGATTTGGTGGAGTCCCGCTGCTCTGAGGACCCGGAGTGGAGCAGGTCTTGGTGTGCCGTGGTCTCAAAGGTGAACGTGGTGGGGCGAGAGAAACCCAGGGAGATGTTGGCTTCACCATCATCTTAAGGAAAAAGGAAATCGAGAAAACTGAGAGCATTGATCTATAAAATCACAAACTGAAGTTCAATTTAAACTGTGAGTATAGCTGTCTGTACGCAACATCGGATGATTTTAAGTTACATGAATGAAAGTCCAGTCCCATGAAACATAAAATTACTGTCAAAGATGGTAATTGGTGTCTCAAAACTATACTACGAATTTTAATTTTCAATATAACCAAGAATTTACCAGCGTTGGCAGCCATTCGGGAGTTAACTGCCTCTCTGCTCCGTCAACAATCACACAATCTCAGAAAGCTAATTACTCAATTATCAAAACTCTTCCAATGTTTGAACTTCTTGATTTCAAGTATATGCAAATGTGTTTGAGCTACTCAGAAACACTTGACCTCCTCCTCCACAGTGGTCATGTAATTATTCATTATTACTTAACAATGTGCAAACAATCATTACAATTGCTATTTGAGACTGCAGTAATGTGTAGACTTCTGGTAACAGTGGCAGTCCCTTTTAGGCAATACAAAACACTATGGTTTTGTTTTTAAGGTCCTGTGTTGGATTTTTCTCTCCATTGCTAAGTGCAGTAGACTTTGTTCTTTGAAAGTTTGGAAAAGCATTTATACATCTAAATGCAAGGGATAATAAGAATGTGAGGAGAAAGTCAGGAATAAGTGTTGCAACAAATGTAGTAACAATTTTGTACAAAAGTGATTTAGCAGATTATTCTCCTATGATTTGATTGCGTCTCATACACACCGGTGAGGATGTGGCAGTGGTGCGGCTTCATGAGTCTCAGCCCCAAAGTGAAGAAAGCCGAGGTCTTGAACACCCGTCTCTCAAACTCCTCCATGGAGATGGGACAGTCCAACAGCTGCCACTTCTCCTCATCTGGGAAGTGTGAGTGAATGAACTCCTCTGGCTCCGTCATGAAATAGAAGTCGTCAAATCTACAACACAAAGTATTACACACTAATGAAAATGACCTAGGAATTTCTGTAAGAATACAGATTTATTTTATTTAAGTCCATTGACTTCACTAAAGTTTTGACCACACATTTCACTATGACATAATCATGATGATTGTACAGTATTTAGAGCTGAGTCTTGCATAGTTTTCTCTGATTTGGAACATTTGGTTAAGTTTGCCTGGTTGCACATGACATATTAAGTAGAGACATCTTTGTCTAAATCTAACTAAGAAAAAATAGTTTTTTATTTATGTTACACATTTTTCCCATCTTCAAATAAATCAGATTCCAATACGAAGCATGTCAGATCTCAAACGAAAAAATAATATTGCTTCCCAAAGTTTGAAGCGCCTCATGCACCCTTACTAACAAGAAAAAAAAACATTTCACAAATGTAATCTTTTTTCATGTATTATATATTTTTTTCTTTTTGATACAAAGAATGTTTAAGTTCTATCCGTATTTCTGTTGTAACTCTACTCACAGTTGTACATTTGATTAGGAGGCCCCTCTGCAGTGGCCCTGAGGCTCCACTTTGGGAAGCACTGTTATAGTGAGTTGGTACAGAAAATAGGAAGGACCATCCAAATAACTGGTCCATTTGTATGAACAGCGAAGAAGAGAGTACAACACCAATAGGACAGATCTGTGGTGCATTTTTGACCTTTTGACGAAGCTCTCGTGCTCAATATCGACGCGTCCGGCCCCCCAGCAGGCGTCCAGCAGAAACCACTGTCCAGAGAGCAGCGCTGCGTTCCACAGATGGTCTGACTTCACGCCCCTCAGACTCTGGCCCTGTCTGTAGCCCACGCCCTTACTGTGTCCTGGGACCTCCTGGCACTCGATCCCCACCTCCCTGCAGAACACCAATACTCATTTACCAGAAAAAAGAACAATGCACAATGCACTGAAACTCATGGGCTCTTTATACACATCAAGCAGAAAATAAAATTAGAAAAGAAGACAAACTACTATTTCAAATATTCTTTCTCGAACATCCACGCTGATATTGAGGAATACTTGAAGACACTTAGGGTCCAGAGTCAAATGTTTTTTGAATGTAAGCGTTTCCTTCCCACGATTCATTTTTGTTCTTCATAAAGCCTAATATCAATAATAATAAAAATCAATGGTGTAGGTTTGGTTCCAATCTTGGTGGGGACATTCACTACGACCTGAGTCTACACCCATTGACACGGGGTCCAGAGTTTCTCCCCCAGAATTTGTTGTGTAATCACACACTATATTTGGCAATAAGTAACAGTGTGGATTTTTCTATATTTTCTTGTTTTTATTCCACTCTCAACCCAAAAAGGCAAGTAATGACTCACAGGGCTCTCAAGTATGCAAAATAAAAACTTAAATGACCTGTTGTGGTGTGTTTTGCGCACAACCAGCATGCATCGTTAACGCAATGGAAAATTTAGGTATCCGAGCTTTAATTTCGGGAGCGCTGGTTGCGCTTTGGGAAGAGTCAGGGGAGAGACATGTCAGAGACACAGGGGAGAAACGGGGGAGATACGAGGGAGACCCGCACTTGCAACATGGTTCTGTCTGCATATGGTCCGAGCTCGGTACCATGTTAGAGCTGTGCTTTCACTGAGCGCCGCGGCTGTCATTACAAAGCGGCAGCAGCTGCACCAGGACGTGCACATTCGAGTGCATCGCTTGAATGTGCTTAGAGCAAATAACAGCAAGTGCCCGCTGTCACACATTTCACAGAAATTACATTATCAGCAGATAAAGGTTGTAAATCGTGGATCCGTGGAATATTTTCATCCCTAGTTTATCCTGATTCACACAACACACCCACTTATACATTTTGGATAGTAAGAGCACAATAAGTATTTTTTCAGCCTTTCAACCAACCTGTTTCTTTATTGGAGCCAGTTCTGTTCTGTGTCTGTATGCCGTGTGAGCTCCTCGGAACATTAAACAGTGCGCTGACAGATTAGAAATAACGTAAGTACTTTGAATGGTAATAGATCTAAAGTACTTTCCTCTGATTACTCACGTGCTACAACGCTCAGGGAACTAAAAAAAACACTTGCTTCACGCTGGCTAACTTTTAAAAATTAAACAGTTGCTCAGTGCTTCAGTTTGGCGCTGAAGAAGACAGCCAATCACTGCAGAGAACGGAACGGGTCACGTGCTGCTGCTGCTGCTGTTGCTCTGGAGGCGAGGAGGAGGCGCGACGTGTGCACAAACGGAAGACATGTGTCCCGGACCGTCCGGGTCACGGCACATCATGTCATTTTGGTGGGGACTTTTTAGTCCTCACCAAATATTGGTGGGGACATGTCCCCATGGTCCCCACGCAAACCTACGCCCTTGATAAAAATGTATAATGATACTTGCTGAAGAAAAGTAAAATGACTTATATCATGAACAAAGATTATTTGGAATTATTATACGTATGTCCTGCTATTACTCCATTGGAAATCTTTTCAATGCATTGGTAGGAAAATAAAATAATAGATAAATACATTTTCCTTTCTACAAAACTTGGCAAAACAAATCGATCAGGGACACATTAAAACAGACATTGCCAAACAAACACACACACACGTACACCGGTGATCTCAGCAACACCAAAAGACCTGGAAGACCAATGAAAACTGGCGTGGATGACTGAGCAATTCTTTCCTTGGGGAAGAAAAAACCCTTCCTAGAGAGGGACAGCTCCAGGACACTCTCCAGGAGGTGTTTGTGTGTTGGTGTCAAAGTTCAGGGGAAGACTTCCTCAAATTAAATGCAGGCAGTCACAAGATAACCAGAAAGCAATTTACACCAGAGAAATGTGAATAGAAAAGTCCAGAGAAGGAAAGGAACTTCTCATGATCCAAATTATAAATGTGGTGGTGGTGTCATGACATGGCCATGTATGGAGCCAATGGAACTGATTCCCCAGGGTTTATTCAAGATGTGACTGCTGATGAAATCATCAGGATTAATATGTAAATAAATAGTCTTTTTAATAATGCTAGATAATTCAAAAGTAATTTAATGGCACCAACACTGTAGCTGGACAAAGATCCAAAGCACACGGCAACAGCTCACATCGAGAAAAATTTACAAGTTATGCAAAAGGAAATCATACACCCGATCTGAATCCGATTGAGCAGACCAAACCTGAGTACTAAAAAGTGAACATTTGATGATGATGATTTTTATATTCTACACCAAAACTAGTTTCAAATTAAAGTTGAAACTGATGTTTATTTCAAATCCATTGTGTTGGTGTATAGAAGAATTGTGTTACGGTCCTGACTGTTCAGGAAAAAATATATTTTAAAAGCTGAGTTATGTTCAAAGTTCAGATCCTAAAAATATCCAGGAGTATATACTTTCAGAAAATGATTATAATTGTATTGTGTTTGAATATACCTGCACATCTCTGAGCACAAACTGGAGTATCCACAGCACACGCCGCGTCCAGCTGCAATCACTTCTTCAGGAGAACTCAACTTTTCGGAGCGTCCCAAAAACCCACTGATGTCATATTCTGAGGACAATCACGGACAACATTATCAATGTCATTCAGTACTACAATGACAAATATTAAATGAGTAATTTGTATATTTCAATAACCAGTTAGAAAATGTTCCCCCAAGGATTTAAACCTTAAAGTTAATCTCTGACCAAATTCAATTACACAAACAATGAACTGTAATAAATATTCATTATGTATACCTGGGGCAAAATACATAAGCACAAAGTTACAATTAAATTGTAAAGATTATCCTCAGAAAGATGCCAAAATAACCTGGGAATATATTTCCAGATATACCCTGTGGGCTAAACAGGACTTAGACTAAACCAGGTTTCGAACAGGACTAACCCTATTTTCATCTGGAATAAAATGGTCCCAAGAAACAACAAAGGCAAACATTGCATACTTCATTCCAAAAGTCTGAATGCAGTTCATCCATAGATCTAAATAAAATTAAACCAACCCACAACTACAAAATGCACTTAAACCACAAAATAACCAGTTTAAAGGTGCACATTTATTACAATTGCACCTTTTAGAACTATGTATTTCTTGATATTTCTATGGAAGGTTTCTGCTAATGGACACCTGAATTTATCCTAAGATCAAAAAAACGATCTACCAATATATCTATGGATGTCCCCCGGACACTCCTTTAATCAAATATTTTAACAAGGCACTAGGGACATTTAGTCACTCACCAATGTTGTGACAAAGCCAAACCCAGATGGCTCTGAGTCGCTCCAGCTCCGTCCTAGCTCCTTGTGTGATATTGAGGGCTATGGTCTTCACATCATAAACACACTTCTCCTTCAGCTGTAAGTCAGTCACATTATACAGCAATTATCAAGATAAGAACATTAACAATAGTTTACCGGCTGAAAACAAAAACACAAGTTACAGCTATCTATCTATTTATCTAAGTGCATATTTTCACAACTAATGTAATAAGTTATTTTATAAATCATATATATCCGATAGAAGTCCTAGACATCTAATGAAATCCTTTCTGTCTCCCACCTGTGGAGAAGACATTTCAAAACCACACATGTAGCATCACTATCACCTGCTTTTATTCAACAGATCAGAGAGCAATAGTTTACAGTTCTCTACCACTATTGGCTCTGTGCTGAGGGCATCGGTCAGTACATTTACTTGCATACAGACTTTTCACCACTCACAAATGCTGTTTTCATATGTGCATATGTGGATAAATTGCAGACTGTATGCAGGTGTTTTGCTCCACATCATTCCGTGGATGCGTATAGTGCTCTGTTTGTCACTGGTGAACATCTTCAGGCAAGTAAATTATATCCCGGATAGTTTTATAGTTCTACATATCAAAAGCAAATATGTAAAGTCCTCCTATGCATACACTAAGAAAACAATGTCCAAAAATAACTATTTATTACTGCATGCTCACGAAATAAACTGGATCCAATTAATCATATAATAACGTCTAACACAAAAGAAACTCAAACAGCAGGCTGCATTACCCATAAGCCCCAAGGTTGAGCCCTGAATGAAAGCTGCTATTTTTGTGACTGAGCGGTTCATTGAGTATTTTTTTGCTCAGTCTACGATCACCATGACCCAGCTCTGGATCACTCCTGTGCCACCAAAGCTTTCATTCTCTTGTGTGTTTGTTTCTTGTATGCAGTAACATATGTTTCAACAAATAATTGCATAATCACAGTCTTTACAAAATCATGTGTCTCAATTTGTGCAAGTCTTTTCTGGAAGTTAAAAAAATAGGTAAACAGTTATTTGCACACAAATGTCATACATATAGAATATATAGGAATTAACATCTATAAACGGATCATAATGGTTTACTGTTTTTGCACTGTTATGCAATATTTTCCTTGATTGAGGTTCCTCCCAAAACAAGATCTAAAAATACCTGATACCAAATCCCTTTAGTTATGAACAAATGTAAAACATGGAACAACATTTTAAGTCCAATGTCCGATTCTGTAGTGTAAGGACTATTATTCTGAAGACGCCCTTTTCTTTTCTCCTCGACCAAGATCCAGACCCCAGACCAGACCTGCTCAGCTATGCTCCAACCTTCAAAATCCAACTGTCTGTATAGAATGTATATGGATGAATGTCTGTTTGTCAGTGCTTGGTCTGGAATGCTCCACAATATGGCATTAATGCTCCGTGGAGATAAACAAGTCATCATTATTTCTATAGCACAGACCAAGGCCACACAAAGCACTTTACAACTTTGGTGTAATAAGTTGGGTCAGCACTTTTTGGTTTGATCTGTGAAGAAGCGTTACCAATATTCATTAATTCATTAATTTTCTACCCCTTATTAGTCCATTTCTGGGTCAGAGGGGTGGAAATGACAGCTGCCACCCAATGCTCATAGCACCAGTCCCTCTGATCCTCTGCAGGTGGACAGTCGTGAGGTGTTTTTAGTGTGTTCCTACACTCACGCTCATCACCATTATCTAATGGTATTCTCAAATTTCTTCAGCTCAAATATGGTGTCTCATGAGGTCCAACATTCAAAACTCCAAAATAATTTAATTGGAAACGGATTAGAGCTCAATCCCCCATATGTCACTGTCCTTTTGGCACTGTTTAGTGCCCATGTAATCTGCTAATACTATAAATAGTGTTCCTAAGTGGGCTCACCTCAGCTCCCACCCGGATGACATGATCATCAATACGCTGGAAAACCTCAGAGCTGCTGAAGAGGTCCTTTCGTCGCCTCCGCCTACCTGTCCCAGCTGTGGGCAGGCCCAGCTTTGATCCCAGGATGGTTTTGGGTTTGACCTCCCCTTCCTTCCTCAAGGCGCTCTTCTTCACCACAGTAATAGTCCTGGCTGCACTTTCAGAGGACAGCTGTCTCTTAGCTACAGGCCGCTGATCTTCCATCTCTGCAGTCAGCTTCTCAAACACATTCTTCTTCTGCGATAATAGGGTAGTGCATTGGTCTTGTTCCGGTTTGGAACTCCCTTGGACCTCATTACACACGCCCATCACTTTAACTCGGACTGGTTCACTGAGGTTTTCCTGGAGGTTGAGAAGATCCATAGCTTTGACCTGAATGCAGCTCTTTGGGGTGGCCTCACTGCACTGGGACAGACTAGGACCACTGCAGGAGAAGGGGAAGGAGAACTTCTGCATGGCAACCTCAGCAGACATTATGCTGCTATCATAGTGTTCTGGATAAGACAAGATAAAATATTGGTTAATAAAATCAGTTAATAAAAAAGGGATAAGATCAAGACTTGTGAGACTTGTTGCTTCTAAGCACTAATTACTGATGCAACCCGTACATATGGATTGCATTTTCTGGTGACACATAAAAAATAAGTAGATATAACTAAATAATCAAAATATTACATGCTGTAATTTTTTCTAATTCTTTTTGGTAATTATTACGCTTAAGCTTCACTAACACAATCAACAATGTCACACCTCACATAAACCTTGACATATGTAAAATTGTGTCTCACATTTCCCTGTCTTTTAGTTTATAATCAAAGCAGTAGGAAGTACATTGTATAGTCTTGTAAGGGCCCGGGACAGTGACTAAGTGGTAATTACTCTCTGTCTCTTTGTGACCCAAAATGAACACAGACATTGGGATCGTCTGTCACTGTCACAGCGCAGGGCGAGAAAGAGGCCATGACTCTTCACCAGATTACCGTGACCCTAAAACTTTATGTATGATGAACATGTGCTAAAAATAGACAACAACTGCAGGCCACGCTGTGTGAGAGTGAGATCATTGTTTTATTGACATTAGCACAGTTAAGCTAATGCTACAACAGTGATAAAGAAACAAGCCTCCATCACAGCAGCTTCAATTTTCTATCGGAAAAATTTGTTGTGGCCCTTGTTGGCTAACTGGATAATACTCTGGAAACAATGCCACTCGAGATAATTTATTCCATAATAGTTTCTCCATAAGATGCTTGCATTTAAAATAATTTTGTCATGTCCTGTTCTTTCTAAAGAAATAGTTTCTGTAAATAATAGTAGTATTTTGCACTCACAAATAGTGGGAAATTATTCATTCAGGGTTAAACTAAATATATTGTTTAAATGCCTGGTACTATTTGCCTGATTTAAAAGCTCAATAATTTAAACAATAATGTTAATTGCTGCTCTTTTTTTGTATTTCTTTCTTTGTATACATACCTAAATAGTTGTTTTAGTGAACCAACTTAATTTTCAGACTATAAAAATTGATTTATGTTTGGTGCTGCTTATTTCAGCAGTGACTATGTTTACTGCATGTGCTTTCCAAGAATGAGTTTCAAACAGGTCTTGACTTTAGAGAAACTCATATATGCTCAAGACAGTCTGTTATGTACCTTATAAACAAGAAACAACAGCTTTGTCGTTAGCTGATATTACCTTTAGATTCTTGTCCAGAACAGCTGTTTGGCTCTGAGCTTTGGAGGAGATCAACTGCCTTGCAACAGGATTTATTTATTTATTTATTTATTTATTTGAATTAGGACAGTGCACATTAATCAACACGTCAGCCAAAAGCATCAATGTAAATGTACCAGAATTAGCGTGAGAGCTAGGATGACCCACACCCCTGCTTTATGTTGGCACCTAGCCTCCAGGCTCAAGTCTCCTTCACAAAATCAATATTTCCTTTCAGCGCTGCAGGAGGAAGTGCCACACAAATTCTGATCTTTTACAGATTCCACCTCTTCCAACTTCAAGTGACATTCATCTATTATGTCAGGCTCAACTTATCTACCTGCTTTACTATTGAACCTAACAAAAGAACAATTCTGGATATTTGTTGTTTTTTCGAGTTTTTTCGGTACAGTATTGTCAAAATAAAAATAATAGTGCATAGGCAATACTTGATTCTGACAAAAAATCTTGATTCTGACAAAAAGTCAAACTCAATTCAAACTACTGGTATATGAATAACGGTCAAAAGTGGGTGGTGTAATCATTTTCCCTAATGTGTACAATTTGAATTCAACCGAGTCGGCAAATAATACATATTATTGTACCACTCAAGTAGAAGGTAAATAAGAAGCAATGTTCATTTACTTTATGAACATTGTATAGTAAGATTATTTGCAGATGAAACCATTTTCTTACCTTAATTGTATGTCTTAAAAATTGGATGGTAGAGTGTGAGCAGATATCTTTCCAAAGTCCTGAGTAGTCCCCTTGTGCAAAGAGGGGAGGCTTTTATACTCACACATAGGCTCGCTAGTACAGGGCCCAGAATAACAGACCTAAAAATACCACAAAGCAGCTAAGTCCGTCCAATAGAGTGGGCTGTAACTGAGTAGTGTGACGTACAAGTGTGGAGTTGTGTGAACTTATGCTTTTGTTAATGGGTGTCAATGCATACCGCTCACCCCATATTGTGAGGGGCCGCTGGCACGAGCCCAAAGTGTGATGCGTGTGCGCGTGTTTGATGGCGTGGGCATGAAGAGGCAGGTGGAAAAGTTGGCGCGTCGGGCATGTGTTGAGTGCAACAGAGCAGATACACATAAAGAGAGAAAGCATATGAAGAGTGGGGTACTGATACTAGCCACTTCAAATGAAAAGGCCTGCACAATTTCAAAGCGTGAAGTTGCATATGGTCTAATCAGGCTTGAGAAATTAACTTGAGACTATGAATTCCTGCGGCTGTACCAAGTGAACACAATTTGGCAAGAAATTTAAGGCACTCCAGAGTTCAGGCATGTTCACTATAAATACATTTGGTCTGGTCCAGGGACAATTAATAACAGTGTTAAAAAGAATAATAGTAAAAAAGGAATATGTTGCTTAATGTAACCAAAAACAGGTAAGATGTGAGTCTATGTAGGGCCTGTCATGTTTTCAGTTTAAGTAATAGCTAACGGCAAGAGGTGTAGATTTGGAGATACAGGAGAAGGGTGTTGAGTGTACCTTAGATATACAGGCCAGTCTGCGCTGCGGCATCATTTTCCTGTTTATCGCAAGTGCTTTGAACATGAGCCGAACCAATCCTGGTCTTTCAAGTCTTTCTTCAGGCTGTTTCCAGTGCATGGCTTAGCATCAAGGTCTCCTCATCCATATATCAAACTTCAGCCTGGATTCCTCCATCATCTGTCTACCAAATGAATATAAGACACAAAGACATTGTTCCAAATCAGTCCTTTAACCTTAATCTTATTACTGTCAGTACTGTTTTAAAAGCACATATAATATTACTTGAATTTTGTTGGTGCTTGGAGTCATAAATACTATCAATGATGATGCAAAAAAGTCAAGGCTGTACTTCTTCCATGTGACGAAATTATTGGTTGCACACAGTCTAATTTTTTCATGCCTAATTTGTAAAGGTGTCTCTAGTGTAGTTTATGAGTCCCACAGCAATTTACCAAGAACCAGAACATTTGGTGTCATAATCTAGCATTCAATTTTGAAAGTTAAAAGTGACTTGCTGATACTGCCTTTAGCAGGTGTAGCCTAAAGACACAGCAGCTGACGATTTAAGCCTTTAAATCAGAGCCCATTTGTTAGTTGGTATGTTTTATTCATTGCTTTTAGAGCTATGATTGATGATCATCAATTAAATAGTAAATCAATTAATAGTAAATATTATTTATTTGAATAAACAATTAGCTGTTAACCAATTATTCAATCAAATAACTTTAAAAACATGGTTTTCTTAAAATTTGTAATCTTCTGCCCTAGTCATAAAACTTCTTTAAAAAAAATTGAAATAAAAATAGGAACTTTCTTGGCTGGTTCATGGAAACATACCATCACCATCAATACTCACAAATCCTGTATTACACAACACTACCATCTGCCAGTTTTGATGTGGAAGCCCGGTGCTCCTGGTCGGACCTCCTGTCCTTTCCCTGATGTAGTGCTGAATCCTAGGCTGCCTGCACGACAGTCAAACAGCAGAGTAATGATAATGCCATCTGGAGCAGCAGTCAAGCTGGAACTCTCACCCGGACTTATTAGAGAGCGCAGACGAGCAAAGGGACATCCTCCATCAGTGCAGAGAGAGTTGAAAAAACACATGGACTCAAGATGTGAAGTATGGTGACCATGCTGGGAGGAACATTAGACTAGAATACAAACAAAACAGAAATATGTTTATGTATTCAGAGAACCAATTTAATTAAATTTAAATATACAGATATTTTAAATTAAACATACAACAAAGTTACATCTTGTCGTGTTCCTTGTGGGAGTGTAGTGGTGGTAAAATAATATATCTATTTTTTTTAGGTCACACAATCAATAGACTGAAATCATTTGTTTAAGATTTGTTGAGATTCGTGGAATTTTATGATGGTTTACAATTCTACAAATAATCAAGGACAGCTATGTAAAAGAGGAAAACACAAATCTGCAGCATTGTTTTCTTTCAGCTCTCCTGATATAAATCTGGTGACACAACAAGCCTTTTACCTTGAGATCCGAGAATCTCACTGAATAAATAATCTCAAGAACATCAAAAGGATCAGTTATATTTTATTTATGAAACACGGAATTCAATCCAACTGTTTATCTGTGTGCATGGGCTATAGGTAACATGGTGTGGCACTTACAATGCTGATACAGACTATAATATTAGGATCTGCATTATTGAGATTATTATTATTTACAGCTATTTATCTAGTCTGCCTTATTTTAGGTGCTCCATGAATCACACAATATGTGATTATCCTTTTATAACATTGACCTCCCCCCTTTGGTATGAATAAAAGGGCTCTTTTGTTATCTAAATGGAAAATGAAGTATGGAAGCCTTTTAATGATGAATAATTATTAAAACAACAAAGAAATTAACCCAGTGTGTATCTAATACCAAGTAACACTAGACACGAGTCGTAAAAGAGAGCACATAAATGCCGAAAATAGCAGAGCTGAAAACAGAAAAACATCTAGAACGAACACCTAGAAGAAAATATAACAAATAATATATGAAAAAACTTCAAAGTGGCGATTCCCCTGGCTGCCACATACAAACGGTTTTATACCAATATAACAGCCTATGATATGGGCAGTGGCAACTAGACCTCAAGGTAAAATTACAATCGGTCCAGTAATTATGGTTTCGACGCACCTCCTTGGTTTTGATCTATGGGGCTAACTAGCTACAGTACATATGATGCATCAATATTTCTTCAGTGTTGGGTGGTACAGACT